CCGCCCCCCCCACCACCAACACCCACCACCACCCCCCACGCCCCCACACCCAGCCCCCACCCGCCCCCCCCCCGCTTTTTTTGGGGGGGGGGGGGGGGGGGGGGGGGGGGGGCCTTAACCACTTCATAGTCTTAGTTGTGAAGAAAATTGATTGCAATATTTTATGTTGACAATTTTATCTATACTGATTACTTTGAATTTTCTGTCGTATGTACTCAGCAAGATTTAGAAATCGATAAAGGTTTCTAGAGGAAAAAATCATTGTTTAATTTGACTGAACTTATGCTTACTTCATATGATCGTTAAATATAGTGGATTGTCATCTTCATATGACTACTGTAATAGTATATAATAAATATCCTTTAGTGCATAGAAGAAATTTAAAAAAGAAATAAAAAATTCAATTTGAATTTGAAGCTAAGAAGCCAATATTTTTTAATTTGAACATGAAATTCTAGTTCCTGTGCTATGATTAGTCTGTTTATAGATCGAAGTTAAAGATTGTCTGTTTAATCTCAAACTATTGCTTGTTACATTTGATTATTTAAGTCTTTTACTTCAGTAACAATGTATTTCTAATCAATATTAACGTCAAAATAAACTGCCAATTTTTGTATATTAGTAATTAATAGTGAGAACAAGTTGGATGAGAACACACATTAAAATGACTTACAGTTGTTTTTTTTTTACTAAACAAAAGATGCATTCCTTATTTTCGATGAGTACCTATACATAATCACTTAGCGCTGTTTTCCTCATATCTGTAATATAACTGGTGGATATCACGGATCTATATGAGCGGTATAGAATAGTTACAGTTTTTCCAATATATACATTAATGTAACAAGTAAATACGAGTTTGAAATTTTTTTCTGTACTATCAACCATTCGAGCATGCAACTAGTGAATATTAAAAAACGATCAAGTAAAATACTCTTAACATATATCTACCTTATCCATACTAGAACAAAAAGAAATTCTTTGATCCTCTAAAAAAGAGATATAGCTGACAAATAGAGTATTCTGTCAATTAATGTGTGCCAAGTTTAGTAGATAGAGAATATTAAAAGGCAGACGGCTTTTATCGAAGTACGTAGTGATGCAAAATATACTGTACTAGAATGAAATACTGAAGAATAGTTGTAATATGAAATGTAATGAAAAGAGGAAATTATGATAGTCAGCAAGCGTTTTTTTTTGTTTGTTAAAGAAAACCTCATTGAATAGTCTTTTTTCGATTCGGTTTTGGCTATTACATAAATAAGCATCGATTGTTTCTAAATTGTTTAAAAATAAGAATAAAGAATACTAAAGATGTTTTGCAAAGATAAAAAAATAATAACTTCTGGCTGTAAACATATTCGTTGGAATTCATAATTTGACTTTTCAAAGCAACATATACATAAGTGAAGAATATAATCTACTTTACAGTAAAAAAAAATATAATTATTGTTTGAAAATGAGTGAATGAAAATTTCTCAATTCACCTTCACCTCTAATAACGTTGTTTCATTAGCTTCAAGTTTCGGAAGATATACACTTGATTGTTTTAATGAAAACCAACTCACAAAATATCAGTAATAGCAGCTAATCTTGACTTCTGCTGAGTTAATTGTTTCCATGAAACATCTAGTATACTCCTGGCTACATAAAAAAAATGATACCGAGTGGATCTCAAAGAATTTCGTTTTTGGTGTTTTCATTGTGGTAATCTTATATTGTACAATTGATTGCAATGTCTTATTTAATCAAAAACTTGTACTTCAATTTCTTTGCAAAGGTTATTTAACTAGATACAAAAACTATATCAGCCATAGAAGAAAACATGAAAAATCCAGACTACTGAAGTATGACTAAAAATACTCGCTGAACAAAATGTTAAATCAATCGATTTGTCACAACTTCTTCATAATATGATTGAGAGATCGGTTCATTCATCTTTTTAGTTTAAATAGAGCTCAACAGAAATGGGTCGTTCTTTTAACAGTTTCGTTCTAAATACTAAAAATTGATAATTCTTTTTTACATTAGAGTAAATCGTCTTCTTCTAGGCGGTTATCATCTAAACTCCTGTCCATACAATGAAGGAAGCTCTACCTCAAAAAGACCCTAGTCATTTAACTAGTCAAGAATTTGTAACTTCTATCAATATATTGAATTCGAGATAAATTCAATTTCAAGAGTCTCAGTCAATAAACAATGATGAGAATTTGGGTGTGGGTGTAGATTATATGAAGAATAACACTTGCACTCATATCCACGCCTACCCTTGTAATAAACTATTTAAGTTTCAATCTAATAATTGGCAATGTATATCTCCTGGAAAACTAATACAGTATTTCCTATGAAATATTCCAAACTTTTAAAATATGAATTCAAGAATCAGTAAACTATTGACTAGATAAATTAAGAATATCATCAGATGGATGAAATTAGTTTTTCGACACGATACATATAAGTTCTGAAATAGATATTTTTTAAGCCCTAATCAGAATCCAATGCAAGTAAAGCATATGATTCTAAGAGTTAGTGCATTGCTGTGGGCATACACTCTTCTCATTGCCGATCATTCATCTACATAGGAATCATCAGTCAAGGTCGCTTCATGTATGTGCTATTCTTATAATCATGCGCATCTTGCTTTTAAGAGATGTCCAATTATTCAAAATATAATATCATATATTATAATTTGTGAGTTAGAATTAAGCTTAAGTATCTGCATCATAGTAATGTATCAATGGGCGATTTCTGCGGGTTGCTTTATAGCCTTTGGTATTTTTCTAGTTTATATTACAAATAAATTTCTAGCTAAATTACTTACTGAATTAATTAATCAAGGTAATAAATTCTTGTCACACTGATATTAAAATATCTTAAACTAAAAAGTGTTCTAGTTTGCGTTTCTTTTCAGTTGTTTCAATATGAATTGTGTCGTCACAGAAAAAAATCTGAAACTTCAGTAATTCTGTGTCAAAAGTCTCATGAAAATGCACATCGAAGAATCACACTTTTTTATTTACATGAACTGTCGATTTGTGTCACACTTCAAACGATTATACAATAACTTCATAATCGACTTCGTAAACTAACATAGTGTGTAAGCTTTAAATTCCGCAAAATATATATTGAACTTTATTTGGCAGAAATTCGCAATTTTCATGCACAGCTAGCCAAAGACTTAATTATTATCAATAAGAAGAAAATTCTTCTAAATTGTAATATTGAACTAAACCAAAAAAAAAGTTTTTTATACATATATTACCTGTTACACAGTCCTGTTATAACGAAGAAATCTCAATGACAATGACGTAACCTTGTAGTTCCATTTGATTTCGAGTATCAAAGAAAAATAATCGAAAGTTAAGATATTTCTATAAAAAAGTCTCATTATCTAGTTGACATGACGAGTATATATTGTTTTCAAAGCAAACAGCTAATCATCCGATTAAACTTAGCTTTATTATACAAAAAGAATACTTTTTGTATGTTTTTTTTTTGTTCATATAATAATACTCAGGTGTTCATGTCAAAGAAAAATGTGCTGTTAATTAATTACTGTTGACACTCATAAGTGGTCTTGCAACAATCAAAAGTTGATTCTAAAAGGATTCACATTATACTTATGAAGCTATATAATAGATGATTTTAAAATTCATTTAAGACTGGTATAAAATTTTTGAAATCTTCTTATAAGAGATATCAACAAATGATAGCATTTGAAACTAATCTAGTGTAGATGCTGTTGACGGAGGCAGTTAATTTCAACTCTTACCTCTTCTCGATTCTTGATTCGTTTCTTTAAGTATTGTATTCCAACGTGTTTTTTCCGAGAAGACCAGTTGAATCAAAGTTCCATCATTATACAATAAATGTAGCTGTGCCATATCATCTTCAGTCATTTGACTATAATAAAATTCCACATGAGTTAGCGTATTACGTTCTTTCGCAGCATGTATAAGTGCTTTGGCGAGTTGGTTTGAAACAGTTAATCCAGAAATACAAAGACGGGAGATGAATTCGTCATTTTTTAGTGATTTTATCAAATGGATTTCTTTCTGAGTCGATGGTCTTATATCTTGAACATGTAGACTGAGATATTTAATTGAATTATGACTCCTCAATACCTCTAAAAGATTTATCAAGAAAGTTTCATCTTCGAAACCATTTTGATCAATTAGATCGATTTCAATAAGGGTTCTATTATTTTTCAACCTTTCACAAAAGTGAGAAGATGGAAGAGGTGTGTGCAGAGAATGAGCGAATTTTAGTTGGCATAGTGCGTTTGTTTTCAATGTAAATATAGTAGTAAGAAGATCAATATTGTTACAATGCTTCACAATAAATACTCCCATAATTTCATTCACCTCAAGACATCGTTGAAAATCATTTTCGTGCCAGAGAAATTCCCGAGCAGAAAAATCTAATTTTCTGTATATCTTGTTTTGCTGCAACGCCCGAGTGAGCATTTTTACACTTTCGTCTTGATACGTCTCTCGAAAGCGAACTTTCATCAACTGATTATTCAATTGTATGATCATGGATCGGCAGATGTACTTCACAATTCCAAGGAAATTGCAAATACGAACACTGATCATAGTTAGATAACGAATTGAGGAGCGATTGATTGCAATGCTCAGCATTGTGTCGAGATCATCCTTATTGATAGAGCACTCTTGAAATACCAACTTTGCAATATTAAAACCCATAGGAAGCACTTTACACAGTGTTTTAACAGTTTTACCGGTTAAATTCCCTTTACTCAACATAGCTTCGTTGTTTTTATTATCGAATTTGCCTCCCATAGCCAAAAAATCTTTTATATACTTACTCATTTCATTATTGAAACTAACGTTATTGTAATGTCCAAGACATACCCAAAGAACATATCCACTAATAGTAATTGCTCGATATAAGTTGCCCAGAGTACATTGATTGTCAGCAAGTTCCAGATATGTTTCAAGCTCGCGTAGTTCGACTTCCTGAAGTGGAACTTCCCTTGATTTCTCAATATCAGCCATGGATGAACGGGGACGATTTCGTTTATTATCAAATTTATTAATTAATGCTTCAACCAAGTCTAATTGCTGTTTTATAGTTTCCTTCTCTTCAGGAGTGTTAAATTTCAATGGTGCTGCACTACCATTTTTCGAAAGAGCAAAGCGTCCACTTGAAAGAAGAATTCGAACGATATTTAAAGTTGTTCTCAAATAGAGTCCATACTGCACAACAAAGTCTCTTGGCATTCTAATCAAATAACCTTCATGAGGAGCGACATGCATTTCATTTGCTTCATGTGAGCATTCACATAGAAAGTAGAGTTTATAATGAATACGAAACCAGTTTTGTTCATTACTGATGAACATCTTATCGCATTTTCTTGTCGGTAAAATGAAAAAATAGCTAGGTGTGGTAAAATTTTGCAATTGAGACATTTCCGCCATTATTTCCGAAACCTGATTTATCATTTCTTTTGTAGTGACGTTGGTTGAATTGGTTTTGTCTTCGATTGGATCTATAAACATATACAAATATCATTATCAAAACAATTTTTAGAAGATTCAAGAACTTCAGAATCTCAGTTGGTGCAGTATATTGCATTTGTAATTTAAAGATGATATTTCTAATTAATTTCTACATAAAATTGATTTCTATTTCACGGATTTAACGAGATAATATTCAAAAGTATTTTTAAAAACGCGTTGCTCCAGATATTAATTTATAGGGTATCAATATTCCTAGAGACAAAACTCAATACTTAATTAGAGAGAGAAGAAGAAGCACAAACAGTCCAAGTATGACACTTAATCAACGTCACGTTATATCGGTATTTATCACTTAATAGTCGAAGAACTTGAAATTATATAAATGTGTTAAATACATCACTAAAAGAAAATGAGAATGAATTATCTAGGTCTGCATTAGGAAATAAATATCAGCTAGTAAGACTGTATAATAGATAATATAGTTAGAGCCATTGCAGTTAATGAATTATACCTTTAAATAGCCACACCCTAGAAATCTCTCCAATAAATATTAGTGATTGTAGAATTTTTAGTCTTCATTGTCATGTTCAATGATACAAAATGAAGAATACTCGAATGAGTTTAATATGCTTTACTAATATTAAAGAGAAGTCTTACCGAGCTCAATATTCCTATTATTAAATGTATTAAACATTAGAGTAGATGACGATAAATGATTCTATCAATTCCTTTTCTTTAACCGTCAGCTTTATCGGTCACCTAATTTAGCTTCTTACAAAGGCAAGCGCAGTACGAATTTCTTCTCTGTACAGTAAAATATCAACGATTAGTTACGAAATGTATTGAAAATAGTCTATTTCTATAAACTTACTAATATTCGTGCTTGATTCTGATGAATGTTCATTTTTGAATTTGAGAGCCTTTTTACGCCATTGAAGACTTTTGTCATAGTCTTTTGCTTGAGCTGCAAGTTTGGCAAGGTCTTCATATAGGTCACCGCGTAAATGGTCATTTGGTGGAAGTTGGTTCAACAAACGAATGAAGTATTTTTCAGCCAAATCTGGATATCCCATATCTCACAATAGTTTTCCTAGCATTTGAAGGTTTGTATCTCCATTACCTAGCTGTTGTGTCATATCCATGAGAACTTCTTGTAGATCGTGTTCATGTTCACTACATAGAGTCATTTCAATGATCCATATTTGATCTTTATCACTGTAACTGATGTTGTTTAAACGAAAAATTGAACCGATCATAAAGAATATTTCCGATTCGTCCGGAAATTCACTAAGTGTCCTGATATCGGCGAATGGTTTTGTTGTAGTTGCTTTTGGATCAGCGACAATATCAAATAGGACTCTTTCTAAATTCTCTGAAGTTGTAGAAGCATTAAGAAAATAACGTGCTCGTTCATTATTCGTACTGGTGGAAAAAAATGAATTTACAGAAATAAATTGACCACTACTATTTTGCAAAGTTTTCAGTTCATCAATAGATATCACTTGTCCTCAATAAACTCGTAAAGGTTTCTTAGGTTGATGATTTTTCAATTGATGTTGAATATCAGAGATATGTGCACGAAAGAAAAAAAATCATATGGATATTGTCTGTACGCAGAACGGCATTAAGCACTTTGTAAAAAAATGTATCTCGTGTATACCACCAAACAGCTTGATCAGACGAATACTGTTTCCGAAACTCTTGAATATTGCTCAATTCAAAACGATTAGCTTCATATTCTCGCTTCAAAATTTGAAGCAGCTCTTTCGTATCTTCTGGACTAGTTTTAAGTCATAGAAGACAGTCGATAAGCACTTGTGAATAGATAAATTTCCCATTGACTTCTTTTATTGATTTGCTTGCCGTAAAAATATTAATGGATAATGGTTGTTCAATAATTTTTTGAAGTTTATGATCAACTTCAATTTGAGATTCAAGTTTATCAAGTTCAGTAACAACATCTTTGACCTATGAAAAAAAATATCAAATATAATAAATAAAATTCAAATCATTCATAATAGTATTGTTACCTTTGTATATTTTTTAGACCATTCTCTGTTATCTGCTTCATTCATGCAATACACGTAGATGGATATAACCTGCCGAACACTATGAATTGCTGGAACAATCTTTCGTCCTAATTGACCACTGACAATAACAATTAGTCTATCCTCTGTCGATCGTGCATTGATATATTTCTGACATCGTTCTGCATCTTTGAACCTTTTGAAACGGTTAATAATAGAGCGTAATTTCTGTTCTGTATCTCGATCATCACTGGCTTGCACATTATTATCCAGCCAAATAATGCAGAGAACTTCAGGTTGTTGATCATCTGCATTTGTAAGAAGGTCATTATAATATATAGGAGTAGAACTAGCCATCTTGAAATCAAAATTTCTCGGTAGAATATATCTAAAAGTCTCAAACGTTGTTGTTTAGGTTTAGTAATTTAATGTGAAGATGTCTTTTCAAAATCGAAAGCAAATATCTAACATTCACCATTATTGTTTTATACAGCACTAGTCAAAATTATAGGAAGAAAGAAACATTTTCCTATTTGCCATACTAAAGACGCATTGGTTCGATCCAAAAGTTATAAACGCAGACGCAGGATCTCGTGCCAAACAGCTTCATTACCAACATCTTTAAAAATAACTTATACTGAGATTTAAAACTGCATCTAATCTGCCAAGCCAAAATGGCTGAGACACGCAGGCTCGAAACGCTTCGGCGTGAGTGTGTGCATTGGTATGGTTGTGACTTCGTGGATGTCGGTGTTGGTATGCATGTGGGTTTGTCTGAGTGTGAGTACGGGTGGGTATGGGTGAGAGTGTGGATAGTGGGTGGGTGTGCAAGGGTGTAGGTTGGGTGTGTGGGTATGGGTGTAGGTTTGGGTGTGGGTTATTTCTGATAGAGAAGAACACCTACACCACACACCCACAACCTCACCCACACACACCCACACCCACACCCACACCCACCTACACCACACACCCACACCCTCACCCACACTTACACTCACACCCACACCCACACCCACACCCTAGATACACATATAATTCAATAACAATACGTCGATATTACATTGGTACGTTGATATCCCTAACTGAGAATGGCGACGCGTGTCTATTGCATATGATGCTCTTATGCGATGGTGAATAAGCATTTACGATAACTATACACAAGTTTATGAAATATTAATATTCCAAGAATGTTAAAAGGGTATTTATGATCACTCACAGTTGTAATTATGGTACACATCTATTATCAAATCTTATAAATAGTAGTACCTCTAGGCGTGCATCATAAGCAACATCAATATTATTTAAACAAAAGCAATTCTATAGTGTCCATCGGAAAACGTTTTTAATAGAATATTAAGAGCTTTATACTAAAAAAATGAATAACTCCATCTTTCTTTTCCTCTGTTTGAAATTCTTGAAGCATATAGCATCAATATTCATGTAGCTTTTCGCTAAAACATGATGATCCGATGGATAACATGTTTTCATAAGTTTTCGATGCTTCTATAAAACATTTAAACGCTTTATCATGTTGTTTCTGTGCTCGATAAACATTGTCAATATTGTCTAAACTTCTTCCTATTTCAAAATGATCAGTAGAATAATAACTTTTAAGTAAATTTTGTGCCTTTTCGTAAGAATTTAACGCATCGTCATATTTATTAAGATCATAATAACAATTTTCCATATTTTTTAGACAAGTTGCATAAGCACAACATTTTCTTGAGTCAATTTTGTCCAAATATTTCATATAACAAATTAAATACTGAATTACCTTATCATATAAACATCTTAAACGAAGAACCGTACATAATCCATTAACAGATCGATAAGAAAATCTTGGCGGATCCATTTTTATTAACGCTTCATAAACATAAAAATGATATTTATACACTTCATCATAATCTCCCTTTTCTAAATATATATCACCAAGATATAAATGAATCTCCAAATAATTATTCTTAGTTTCATTAAAAATTTTCAATAATTTAGTAAAATATTCAAGTACTTTATCATATTGTTCCATTTGTCTTAAGAGATCCTCCCATAAAAGAGATACATTTGTTTATGCATAGATGATAGATAGGATTTTAAAAACAGCACCAATATCAATTAAAAATTCCTCTTCATCTGGATGTGCACTAAAGTGATTGATTGGAGCAAGAATGATACTATTACTCATGGTAAATCACATTCAATTTCAAAAAGAACACTTTTTTTTATTGATTGTACTAACGGTAATGTTCCTTTTGATAAACTTGTAGATAAAAAGCCGTTAGTGGATATTAATTTATCCTGATTTTTTTCAAGTTTTCAAGTTCATTATTTGACTTACGTGTACCTCGATAGAGATTTATAAAGGACTCGTATTCTTTTATAACTAAATCTTCGTTAAAAAGATTATTGCAAAGATCACGAATAAAACAACGAAATAAATGTAACAAGTCAGTAACTTCTGTTTTTAAAGCTTTATTCAAATTTTTATAAAGACATGGTTGTTTGTATACTATTTTATTGCATCTTCAGATCGATAGTTTTCTTCAATTGAAACCAAAGAAATTGTGTCAATTCTTTTGTTAAATTTGCGTGTTGATTTTTTATGTTGATTATAGAAACTCAATGCGATTGATTGTTTTTCAGTTAGATTAATGTTTATTTTCGTTGATTCATTTAATTAATTCGAATCAAGATAAATGTTTACACTTTTAGAATATTTATTTAATAAGTCTTGAATAAAACTTTTTTCATATAAAATTGAATAAAGAAGTCTTGAATCAACTTGTCTTAAGTTATGTACTACTGATAAAATCTCATTTGAACATGAAACAGAGAGAATGAGAAATATTTTTTTTTAATCAAATAGTCTGCATATAATTAAGGGTGCAGGTGTGAATGTAGTTATGAATGTTCTTTCTAGTTCATCCACACCCTTAAGTATATATAATCGCTCAAATAAGTTTGACATCATTAAAGATCCATATATTGTTCTTAACAGCACTAAGATCTATTTATACGAATGAGTTAGCTGATATTTAATGTATACTTGCATATTAATAGATATTATAAGAACCATTATGTCTTCAGGAAATAAAAACTTCATTACCCAGTATTGCACATCAGTTTCATATTGCCTTACAGTATCAAGCTGTTTCAAATTTCTATTCACAAATGACTTGATGTATGTTTTACTCAAGAACCATGGCAATGTATTTCACCAAATATTCAAGTAACAAGTACTGGCTCACCTGCACATGAATTAGCAATAGATCGAACTGATGAGTCTTTAAAAATATCCCGAACTTCTTGATTTATTTGAAGAGTGACTGTATATGAAAAGAAAACTCACATGGACATTCATCCTCTCATTTACATCTATAACCAATACTTATCAGACGAATCTTAAACGATTAAATTATTATTATGGCTTTATCATAGGAATATTTTGTTTCATTCTAAAATTAAAATCAAAACAGGTTTTAGCTATCCAGTTTAGTATAGATTTTCATATAAATAACTATTTGAAAAAAAAATACTTTTTTCAGCTAAAACAGAAATTGATACAGATTTATTATTCTTTGATAAATTTTCGAGTTTATTTTATGTTAATACTTGTTTCTCATGCTCACCTACACGCAAGTCATTCGATCTGTTGAAAACCAAGTTCAATATTTGTTCAGTAATACATATAAATACTTGGTATATTGGGCATATGAATGTTTGCTAAAATTTAACATTTGGGAGCTTACTAGGGGCCAATCAATTAAATCGCGTAGTAGTCTTTTTTCCTCTCAGAAAGTCGACTCTCTGATGTATATTTCAAAGATTTCAACCTTCGTGATAAATATTATGTAGTCGATATATATGGTAGCTAATGTCTTATATAATGAATGATATTTCATTGGCTTGTTCACCATCAATATGATTTGAGTTAAGAGTAATTTTAAATCCAACAGCGATCCTTCATATAATATTCGTGAAAAAGATTTTTTTTAATATTTCAATGCTAATGTCATGAAAAGTCTACCAGTCTTTGATGGGTTTTTAAA